GTCATGAGCTAGATGAGACTATTTACATTCCACTGAGCAGCAGTCCACCTCAGAAACCAGTCACGGCAACTGAAAGGAAAACAGTCATACAACAGAACCTGATTCTCCACAAACTAGAGTGTGATTCTAAGCAGCCAAGCAAGCTTGGGATGCTGAGCAGCACCAAGACCTGTAATAAATTGAGTGGTATCTTTGATCGGAAAATGACTGTTGAAAATAAATCTGAAACTCTGGGGAGGATAGAGAGGCTGGAAGGCGAGAGGCTTCAAATGCAGCCAGAAGAAAGAACTAATGGGTCTGCTAAAGTGATTTTGAACAATCCAGACAGACTTCAGCCTGATAAACTCTGTTATGTTCAAAAAGGAAATGGGCAGAAGAACCCTGGAATTTCTGCTTCTGACTCCAGTTTTTCAACTCTTGACTGGATGTCAGGAAAATCTGAATGGACTATATCTTCCTTTTCGACGTTCACATCCAGAGATGAAGAAGACTTCAAAAATGGATTAGCAGCCTTGGATGCCAACATAGCAAGACTGCAAAAGACGTTGCAGAATAGCTTGAAAAAACAAGGAGACTTTGAAAATACTTCAGTAGTTCAGAATAACTAAGGAAAACGTACTTTTTAAAAAGCCTAGTGATTTGGAACACTTTTTATTCTTTGTATAAGTTATCTTTTAAAACGTTGACAGTGAACATCTTATTGATAAATTAACAGCCTGTTAATTACCCGGCTGTTTCATCACTGAAAACTTATTGATAAAATAATCAAGGGTGAATCTCAAATGGATCTGCAAATTTTAATATTTAAAGATATATAATTGCTTTGAAATGTATTAATAAAGGAATAGAATCCGTTTTTCTTTTGGCTTTTATGATTGACTGATAAAGGTCAAACAAAAGTGTGTAATATTTTTCTAGAACATGCATATTGGAAAAATGTTGCCACTTATGTCATAATAGAGAAGTTTTAATCTTACAACCTGTTGATTTGGCTAATAAGATTTTGGTCCATAGCTTAAATGCCATCTTGCAAATACTTATTGTCCTCTTGCATGTTTATATACTTAGAATCAGAGATGGGAGAGACCAAATATTTCATCTAGTCCACAAATGTTTGCATACACATGTATCTGAAGACTTCTAATAAAAGAGAACTCACTATGTCATGTAGCAGCCTATTCCACTGGCTGATAGCTTGTATTACCAGGATGCTCCTCCTGATATCCAACCATGAACATCTTTTCTTGTATTTTTAATTTGTTGGTTTTAGTTCTCCCTCTAGGGCAGGGGTAGACAACCTTAGCTCTTTTATGACTCATGGACTTCAACTCCCAGAATCCTGAGTTATGCTGACTCGGGAATTCTGGGAATTGAAGTCCATGAGTCATAAAAAAGCTGAGGTTGCCTACCCCTGCTCTAGGGCAATGTGTGTGACAGCCTTTAAAATATTTGAAATTGCAATAATATTTACCTTGTCACCAGCTAACCTTTCAACCTGGAAGCACCTTAACGATGCCTCCGACATAAACTGGATGAGGATCATATCTATCCTTGGTCATTTTTCTGTAGGTATCCCAGTTCTTTGCCCTTCCTATTGCTTGGTTTTCAGGCCTTTCTCCATCTGGGCGACTGCATTTTCTCCAATTTTTTGTCCTGTTGTGAACCCTGTTGCTCAGGATCAGACACAATATTTCTAGAGGCTGGAACTAAAGCACAATACAGCATTTGTCATTTTAGCATCTGCATCAAACTGCTGGCTAATTTTAATTTCTGATCAACAAGGACCCCCAGATCCCCTTCATATGTACTACTACCAAGCCCACTGTTCAAATCTGTTTAGATGTTTTAAAATTTCAACCACTGCTTCTAATTTTGTGTCATCTGCAGACTTTATAACTCCAAGTGATTGATAGAAATGTTGAATAGCTGAGGACAGGACAGCCCTACAGCACTCCATTCAGCAATTATACTGCAGCTAAAATAGAACCTTTAATGAGCCCATTTAGAGTGTAGATGTTTAGCCAACAATGAGTCCATCTCCCAATAATATCTATGATATATTTTATGAAAGAGCATTAGAAGGCACCCTGTCAAAGGCTTTGCTGAAGTCCAGGAAGTGAATGCCCACGTCTACTGATGTATTAAATCCCTTACAAAAGGGATTGTTTGAGAGCCAGCTTGATCTAGTGGTTAAGGCACCAGGGTAAAAGTCAGGAAGCTGAATTCTCCCACCTTAGGCATGAAAGCTCTCTCAGCCCAACTCACCTCACAAGATTGTGGGGAAAATAGGAGGAGGAAGTATTGTGCATATTAGCCACTTTCACTTATTTATAAAAATAATAAAGGGGATAGAAATATATATTGAGAGGTAGAGAGATGAGATTACTCTGGCACAATTTGCAACAAACTATGCTGGCTCCTGTTAATTGTAGCATTCTTATCCAAGTACTGACAAATGTGCTGCTTGCTAATCTGTTTAGATGTCTTACCAAATATGGCCATTATACCATCAGGTTTGTAATTTCCCAGATACTCCTGCCTCCTGATTCAAGCAATTGTAGTATTCCACTAATTCTTAATAGAGGAAAACTATCCTTCAGCTTGACAGCTTGGAGTGTAATTACTTCCAGCTTTACTCATGGATGCCTAAACTGCATTTATTCCCAGAAGCACCAACCCACTCCTATGTATACTGGAAAAATTACAAAAATCACCTTCAAAAATATTTCATTAGCCTCAGCCATAATTCTATTGCCCTCTTAGAAACAGTCACAATGGGCTCTTCCTCTGAAAACTAAAATGTCAGACAATTCCACCTGGATTTTTGGTACTAAATATAAAGATCCAGAATTTAGCACACCTTCATTAACTTCTGTTTGCAGTTCAGTGTCCAAGGGTTACAGCCAATCTCTTTAGTCTGCTTAGTCTTCTCTAAAAATTGCTCATTTGTTCAATGTCTCCCTCTCACTCATACACACATCAGATGCTTTACTCTAGTGTTCCTCCTGTCAGGTATTTTCAAATTAAGTTGCTATAACAAAATAATAGATTTTTTTTTTCTCCTTCTGGTTGATTAGCAGATAGATTTGCAGATTCTGAGCTGATTCCTTCAAATACTTACAATGAATATTTTCCCAGAGGCCAGGAAGGGAAAATGCTAATGCAATATTTTAGTCCCATAAAGGAAGTTCTATAGCTGGTGGAATTCTTTTTGGGGACAATAGTAGAGATATTTTCTAATAGTCTGAGTTTGGAATTTCTACCAAGAAAAATAATAGCAGAGGAGAGAAAACAAGAGCGAAATGAGTAAGTAATTCAAAATAGTTCCCTTTGAAGGTTAAAGGTGGAATTTATGAGCCAAGTCATTTTAAGGAGCCTGGCTTAATTTCACAGAGATTAATATGGGAGATAGCTGACCTTGTTTCTGCAAAGGAGAAGGAATGTCTCTAGTTTATATTTATTCTAAATTTAAGCATCTGCACTATATTACAAGAATGGGTTTAGATAGCCTTTTTATACTATTTACATATTGCACTGTACTTGGCTTTTGGTGTTGGAGGGGGTTGTTTATTAATTTATTCCAGTACTTGAAGGTGTAGATTGTCTTTAAAAATATCACTTTAGGTTGGTGCTATCTAAAAACTGTATAAATTATGTTATCAATATTATTTTGCTTATTAGCTGACTTTACATTAGTGGAGCATTTTAGGCAACATCTGATAAACTTTGATCTAGAAAGCTAAGCAGACACAAACCTAAAAGATGAATGCTGTAGGCTAGATTGCCATTGCTGAAATTTTTGAGGAAATAAACTTCTATTTTATTCCAAAAAAATTGCATGGCTATGTTTGTGTACATTTCCAGGAAGTGAATTTGATTTTACTTCTTATTATGTTGCTATCTACCATTTTCTCAAACTATTTATATGACTAGCACAGTTCCTTGTAAGTGCCCTGCTAAGGAATACATTCATTTACCTAACCAACCAGGCTTTGTCTTGCTAATTATTATGCACACCCAGTTGTCTGACTGTATTGAACCCACAATTCTTTTTAAAGATTGTCATCCTATAAATACAAGAGAGTTATGTATCTACATGAAAATTTTAGTGGGATTGGGCAGAAAGTGAAGAGGAACTAAAGAGGCTCTTGATGCAGGTGAAGAAGGAGAATGCAAAAGTTGGCTTGAAACTCAACATTAAGAAAACCAAAATCATGGCATCCGGCCCTCTCAATTCCTGGCAAATAGATGGGGAAGAAATGGAGGTAGTGACAGATTTTATTTTTCTGGGCTCAAAGATCACCTCAAATGGGGACTGCAGCCAAGAAATTAAAATATGCTTGCTCCTCGGGAGGAAAGCTATGGCAAACCTAGACAGCATTGTAAAAAGCAGAAACATCACCCTGCCAACAAAAGTGTATATAGTCCAGGCCATGGTTTTCCCAGTTGCAATGTATGGCTGTGGAAGTTGGACCATAAGAAAGGCTGAGCGCCAAAGAATTGAGGCCTTTGAACTATGGTGCTGGAGAAGACTCCTGCAATTCCCTTGGACTGCAAGGCGTTCAAACCGGTCAGTCCTAGAAGAGATCAACCCCGACTGCTCTTTAGAAGGCCAGATGCTGAAGTTGAAACTCAAATACTTTGGCCACCTAATGAGAAGGAAGGACTCACTGGAGAAGGGCCTAATGCTGGGAAAGATTGAGGGCAATAGAAGAATGGGACGACAGAGAATGAGATGGCTGGAGCAGTAGATGTGAAGATGGTAGACGACAGGAAGACCAGAAGATGGTAGAGGACAGGAAGACCTGGAGGAACGTTGTCCATGGGGTCGCGATGGGTCGGACACGACTTCGCAATTAACAACAACAACTAGGTGAAGTAGGATCTCAACATTTTAGCAATGTAAATATTTACAGATTGCCTTTCTTAACATGGCAGAATCCAGAGGGGCCATGATAATAGGAGTGAAGAATAATAGCAATGCAACAATTGTACTTTAGAACATTTTATTTGGTGCACTTCATATTTGGCAAAGCAAAAAGAAAAAAACAACATTGTATTTCAATTTCAATTCAATTTTGCAGCCACAAAATGAATACTGGCTTCTTAAGCTTGTTCAAACAATACTGGATTCTTAAGCCTGTTCAATGTTGTCATAGTCTTCGTTCATTATTTTCAGCAGAATATAGCAAAGCAGGATCCCAGTTACCTGACGAGAAAGTACAGAACATGCAGAAAGTGATTTAATTCTGACAACGTGGAGAGTAGGAAAATGAAATAGATCATTCCAGTTAGATGGCATTAGCTCCATTTAGCTCTAAGCTTTAGTGAAAGCAATAGAGCTACTGTAGAAGAGAAATTGTGTTAAGGATCCCAAATGTAACTGATCAGCCCCCCCCCCTTTTTTTTTTTTTTACTTTAAAAATCTGGGCATTCTGATTTGTCTTTCCAACCAAGCACCAAATGCTGTTACTGTAATCCTTTATTTAAGCCTTTTACGCGTACCTGACCAAATACTATAAGAACTGCAAGTCCTCCAAATGCAGAAATGTTTCTTTCAGTCCAGCTCTTCAGTTTTAGAAGACAGCCCTGAGAAAGAAGGGGGGAAATGCATTCTAATAATTCTAATGGATGTTTCTTAAAAGCTAATCAAACTAAATTCGGCTTAAAGAGCTTAGAGGGAGAATGAGGGAGAACCTACAGGCATAGACTATAAATGTTAGAAGTTATGCTTACTTTGGGATTGAGGGAATAGTTTTACAGTGATTGTACTCCTTCCTCAATGTTTGGTTCTAATCAGAGTGTGGGAGAGTTAGCAAAGGAACCCCCTTAAAACTAAGATACAGTATGTCATGAGTTAGATTCTATCATTATTATATAGATGTAGCGACTAGGAAGGAATCATCCTGAATGCCAAGATTCCTTAATCCATTTACCAATCTATTCCCAGTAAGAACTGTAACCAACTTAAAAGTACTTTAGATTCAAATGCATCCTTCCCTTAACAAAAGGAATGATGACAATATGGAGTTTTACCTCCTGATTAATGCCAACTGTATCTTCATTTAGATCAGTAACACAGCTTTCCACAGGTATTTTGCAGCAGCTTTTGGGGACAGATGAGGAGAGCAGTCCAAAGGTTGTGTTTTGCCAGTCTGTATAGTTCTCCGCGCCACAACACTGAAACTACAATACGGAGGAAAGTGTGAGAGTTGGTAACAGAGAATGCAGGGTCTCATGAGACTTTCTTAACTAAATCTACAGATTTTCTGCTCGCAGTCTAGCCCAGGGGTAGGTAACCTTGGCTCTTTTATGACTTGTGGACTTCAACTCCCATGCTGGCTCAGGAATTCTGGGAGTTGAAGTCCATGAGTCATAAAAGAGCCAAAGTTGCCTACCCCTGGTCTAGCCATACGTCATTCTCAAAGTTCTTCACGGTGGTAAGATGAAGACATGAGGGAATCAACGCAGATCATAGAAGGTAGTTTCCTTTGTTTCCCTACTAATGTTAATTGTTGGAACTGTAAACCATTCCAAGTTTTCCTACAAGAAAGGTGTCATCTTCACTAAATACTTACAGTGTCTTCTGGAATCATTAAAATATTGGTTTACATGGCCTCAACAACAGATAAGTAAATAATCTAGACATCCATAGTAGAAAAATGGGGAACAGTCATCTTGGATAGAATTCAAGAAGGTTTTGCAGTTCTGGAAAACTGTCATTTCCTTTTTAAAAAAAAAAATGGGGAAAATACATTTTCTTAGAGACAACAGAGGTCAGATTCAATCTGGGGATGCCCATGTCTTTTTTTCCACATTTCTACAGGCATGAAAAAAAAAATCCAGAGAGGTGATTTACCTGGAGCGATTCTATTTGAACATTACCCAGTAATCACCTGACTGCATAATATATTGAACCTTTAACTGAGTTGGAAAGCATGCTTTGAGACCAAGGGCAGTGAGCCATATACTAGTTAGCCCCAGTTCAGCCCAGTGGATTCTATAAACCTTGCCTCTGAATACATATCAGCACTCTAATCAAAGCCTGTAGTTCAGACTTTTAAATTGTAAAACAACAAAACTGAAGCAGCAGCAGCACCGATTCTAAAGGTTTGAGCCTATTTACAAAAAACAGTATTTAATTTCTATAGCTGTCCCTCTCGTGCAAATTCACTGCTATCATTTTTTTTTTGTCTTAAATTAGGGTACAAAAAAAGAAAAAAGGGGAAAAAAAGATTCTTTACCTCTGCCTGGAGAATATCCACCCCCTTGGTGATCTGCTGATTCTTATTATACTTGTTCAGAATCTTCATGAAATCGTTGGATACGGTCTGGTGTAGCTGTGGCGATATAGGATAAACAAATTACTATTCCATAGGTTGTATTGGAAGTTTAAGCTGAGGCAAGTTGATTTAATAGATAACAGAGAATTATTATTCTCCTGTTCTGCCTCCCCAAACATTTGTGATTTTAATACTCTAGTATTGGGGAAGTCTGAGTTAAACATATTTTTAAAATTAAATATTAAATATCACTTTACCCCCCCCCCTTTTCTCAGCTGCTGGGTAGGAAAGAAAGGGGGGATTCTAGAACATTCAGAACATGGCCTTTTCAAAATATTTTGTATGCTTATAATCCACCCTAAATTGTTTGCTGTGAATCCAACTGACATATTAGAGTTTACTAAATTGTACTGCTAATAGCAATGAAAAGCCTTTTATATTTTAGATTAACCAATTCTTACTAATTATTTTGAAGAGAAGGTTATTGCTTTCTCTGAAATCAAATAAATAAAGTATCTGCCAATAAAAGGTGTTCATAACGTTTGGTTATGAACACCATCCTGATACGATTGGCAGTGATGTTCCTTGTAAGGTAGCTTGTTCTAATCAATTGTTTTTCAAATTGGGCTACTTAACTGTTTAGGAAAAAGCAGCCAACCTACACTGCCCCCCCCCCAGATTCTATTTTGCATTTTTGAGCATTGAACTATTATCAATTAAATATTACACATCAGGTCAAGCGCTGCTCCATTGCACTGCTCCACTCTGGCAGAGTGATTTGGGAAGTAGCTGCATCATACAATATTAAGCTACCAGGTAACCACTGTTTGCATAAATCTTGTTTCCCACTTCCTCTCTTTCCATTTCTATATTTTGGAGTGAAAGAGAAGACAAAATAAAGTACCCCTTGTTAAGGAAATGGCAAAGTCCTGAATTTGTGCTGGACATAAGCTAGCAGAAATCAAGAATTTGTTCCCATTACGGCAATTCTCCATTCTTCTTGGGAATGCACACCTCAAGAAGCAAAAGGTTTTGCCTCCTTTTCAGTTTCAAGATAAGACTTGTGCTTTGAACCAGAAACCTCCTCTCCCAATTCTCACCTTTACTCTGCATGCGTAGGCAGTGGCAACAACCAGAATTTCGGTGATCAAGAGCAACACGAGTAAGCCTGTGAACTAGTGAGAGGAAGGAGAGGGAGAGAGAGAGAGATGTTTAGTTTAAAAGCCAGCGATTTATCAAATTGCTTTTTAGAACACAGCACTGTTATTTTTACCCTTGTAATCCATCCTTGACTCTCTTATTCAGAGATCCAATTCTTAGCCTGCCTGGTATGTCAACCTCACTTTGGGACAACTACAAAGCCAAACTCAACATTCATCCATTATTGCTGTCACTTATCTTCTCAGATAGGTCAGAGTGATGAAGTCACCATTAGAAAGAGTTGAAACTGAGAGGCTGATTGTGTCCAAGTCAAGCCACCAGCACCATACATGGTAAAATCTTGGCTCTGGTTATATAGTGACTGTTTTATATGCCTACATTTCCAAGCCAACATATTTTGGGACATATTAGCACTAAAATCAACAAGCACCATAATCAGAGAGTTTTCCCCCAATGCATTAACAGAACTGGAATTTAAATGGCATATAACCATCTAACAAAATTGAAGCTTCTTATGAAATAGAGCAATTTTTACAGGCAATTCAAATGAAAATATATTAACGCTGGTTTACTACCACTACTCAATAATGGACAAATTACATATACAGAATTTCTAGCTTAATTTCTTGACACAAAGATACAGTTTCATGTTTCCATGTATATGAGCTCAGGACTGCAATAGGTTTAGTCCAGTCCCACCTTAAGAGCTGATCTGTGAAAGAATCAGAACTTAAGGAGATATTGCTTATGGCATCTAGCAACTTCAAAGAAAATTGAAGTTCAATCTTAACCACATTGAGATGCCTTAAACAAATCATGATTAACTGTACACACGTTCTGTATTGCATTTAATTTAATACTTGAATAGCACTTACCAATTTGATCATGGCTTTGTTCGATCTGAATAAAGCAATTGCTCCAAAGCCAGACAGAATGATGATAAACACACCAATGACTGTTACGGTCACAGCTACTCCTGAAGCAGCTTCCTTCAGTACCACAAAAGCATAATGGAGTTTCACTTGAACACACACACCTGTGGTTATTAAAACAACTCCAGCAACCTAGAATTTGGGAGGTTAATGCATAATTATGAAAAATAGCTAGAGATTATTCTTCATGAAGGCAAATATATTTTAGTCAAATTAATTTCAAACTATTTGTAACCTGGATGTTTAAAGTCATGCAAGGGAAAGAAGTATAGATAAAAATTTTCACTGTTACTTGCACATTTGCTCATAGCAAAGTTAATCCTTTCTGACCAAGACTAGGTTTAAAACATCAAACTAGGTCATTATGTGGCTTGTTTGGTTTCTAATCCATAATGTGGTTCATGGCTTATTCAGTATACATTAAACAATCCATGATATAACAAATTTCAGGCTCTTTTTTTAAAAGTTTCAGGAGGAATATTTAGAATTTCACACATAAATCAATAGTGTAGAAGAAAACAAACTACTATATTCTTAAAGAAAAATATAATTCTGAAAAATAGCTGTAAAAAAGCAGAAATTTATGGAACTTTCTAAGAAAATATTCTATGAGATTCATAGCAAAGCCACCAACTGTTTGTAAAATGAAAACTGATTTAAGCATTACACTATACCAATTTAAACAGGGTTTATTAAAAAAAACACAGCTGTGTATATACAACATACAAATTCAGAAAGAAGAAACAAACCACATGTTTAGTGCAAAGTAAAGCAAGCCATTATATATTACTTAATCTAGGGATAAAAAAGTATGGTTAAACAGTATAGAGTTACAGGAAAAGGAAGCAAACATTTAAATTAAAGCATTTTAAATTAAAATTCAGTTATGTTTAGTGAAAAATGTAATTTCCTTTAAAATATTTAATTAACTTACACCTTGGAAAACTTGTGGCCTTACAAAAAGTTTTAATTGCTAAATTATGCAAGTTGAAAAAAACTCAGTTTTGCCATTGTGGTTTAGAAACACTGCTTTATGATTTAGCATGTTGTGCAAGCACAACCACAGTCTTATTAAGTTTATTTTCCAAACTAATATATTTCCAGTTATCCTATTATAGCTAATAACTGTACTATTATAACACATAACAGATTTGAGAAATTGGTCCCCAAAAGTGAAAAAAAAGTTTGCAAGATTTTATACTCTAGATACAAAGTGAGATACATTTACAAATTTACAAAACACACACAAAACAATACCTTACCCAATAAAGTAAAACAGTCAGCCATAAAGCAATTTTAATACACTTCTCCCATGTAATTCTTCCTTCTCCTTTCATTTTGCTTGCTACCTCTACAAAGCTTGAGACTAGTGGGGAGGATCAATAGCCCTATGCTAATAAATATTTGTAGTTGTTACAGCTGTCCCCAATTTCAACCAAAAACTCCATTTACAGCTTGTGACATCACCTTAAAAAGGAATACATTTACTAATGTTCTCAAACCATTTTTCTTTCAGCAGTCTCACTAAACCACAATCAGGCTGTTAGGTTATTGTAGCCAACTGCTCCTGAAATAACTTTCATATAGATCGAGTTATTTCAGGAGCACTGTGCTATTTTACCATAGCAGCCTGTGTGTGTGTGTGTGTGTGTGTGTGTGTGTGTGTGTGTGTGTGTGTGTGTTTATACAGGATATGTGCACATATTATATACATGCATATAAAATTAGTTTTCTTCCTATCTAGTGTTCTTATTCTTATGCAAAGTGAAGTATAAGCATCCCAGGCAGCAGATGCTGAACAGTCTATTAGGAAGAGCAGGTCTATGTGTGCACCATGAGCAGTTGCCTGGAATCGGTAGACGGGTTTGCAGGATGTTCTAAGTTAAAATGTAGCTGGGTTAATTTGTGGTTCCGTGTGTTCTGCAGAAGAGACTGGCTCTGAGCCTTGGGTGGAACAAAAAGATACAATATAGGACAGAAGACAACTGAATCCTATAGAACTCAGGGAAAACAGCTGTGCCCTGCAAATAGGCAACCCAAAGGTAGTGACTCGCTGCTATATGTGAGTACTATATAAGAACTGATATAATGAGTGCTGATCAGGCTTGCCCATGTGCTTATGAAGCCTGCTGTCTGCCTGGAGCATGGATCGGGATATGACAGCCAAGGATGATCAAGTCCATACACATTTATTCCTTTCTGATAATCCACAGAAGGACAAAAAATATTGTAAACCCCAACTGGATCACCATAGATTTTGCAGAGCCAGGAAGGAAGCTCAAGAAACTTGAAGGATGATCTTCATTTATAAAGGAGGACAAGGGAAAGAAGAAGAGTGGAGGGTTGGTTATGTAAATCATGTTGACAGGATTTGGGATTTGGATTCATTGTCTGAATTATTATGGACTCCTGGCCCAGAATAAACACCTCATGAAGGCTGGTGAAAAATGGCTCAGCTGACATATGGAGAGCTTTATCAGGAGACCTTTCAATGAATCTTTAACTAAGATGAAAATCCTTAACTGAAAAGCTAAGATAAAGCTTGGGTACAGGTAGACCTTGACTTACAGCCACAATTGACCCCAAAATTTATGTTCTTAAATGAAACATTTGTTAAGTGAGGTTTTGCCCCACTTTATGACTTTTCTTGCCACAGTTGTTAAGTGAATCACTGCAATTGATAAGTTAGTTACCTGATTAAGCAAATCTGGCTTCCCCATTGACTTTGTGAGACAGTCGCAAAAGGTGATCACATGACCTTGGGACACAGCAAAGGTCATGAATATGAACTCTTTTGCCAAGCATCTGAATTTTGATCACATGATCATGGGGATGTTAAAAAGGTAGTAACTATGAAAAACAGTCATAAGTGACATTTTTCAGTGCTGTTGTAACTTTGAATGGTTAATAAATGAACTATTGTAAGTCAAGGACTACCTGTATTGTAGTAGGTAATGGGCATGTTGCAGTAATGGAGACAATTACACTCATTTAAAAAAAACCGTTAAAATGTATATTGACTCATCAAGATTTTTGTTCTCCACATGTTAATGTTTAGTGTTTCAGAAATTAAACAAGAGAGCTGGAATTCTTAGTACAGGAAGGCAAATATAAAGTAATTAATATAATGGAGACCTAGTGGAAGATTCTAAAGTTTGGAATGTAAAAGTCAAAGAAAATAATTTAAAAGGAACAGAAGCAGTAGAACAAGTTACACAGTATATTAAATCCACAGCTGTTAAAACTCAGTGAATAAACTTTAAGATATTGCAGGAAGCATCTGGGTTAAGTGGATGAATTAATTAATCACCATTGTTGCTGGTTTTTTCCTAGCCAATCAAGGTGAAGATTCAGAAGGTGGTTTCCAAAAGCAAATTGCAAGCCTTTCAAAAAGTTTATAGTATTAATGATTATAGTACTAAGGACTCAAATTACTGTTGAGAATAAAGAAGCATGGTCTTTACAGGAAATTCTAGGTTTGTCTTGCAGATAACTTCCTTCTTCAGGGGATGCAGATTTAAAAGAATTAACTATTTCTGATGCTATATCAGCCTTTTTCAACTTTGTTTTTAACTCTGGAAGAAATAGTATTTCAGGAACTCCTGCATAAAAGTTATTATATTTACAGCTTACAACATGAGCTATTTGTAAACTATGTTGACATTTTTTCAAACCTGACCTGCATGGAACCGTAAGTTCCCTGGTATTCCAGTTGAGAAAGTTTGTTTAATAACAATAAGACTTAGTTGAAGAAGAAGTTTAGCAACAAGTGATTGTGTGCATTATCTTGGATTTCAAAAAGTACCTTTTAATAAAGTCAGAACAATAAGATGACTTTATGGCAAAAAATAAGATGAGTGGGGCAGTGATGGGATTCAGCCACTTCATACCAGTTCGGCAGAACCGGTAACTAATTTTTTGTTACCCAGGCCCAGAATGGACTTCTGGAAGCAGCATCCACACAGAGAACTGGTTGTTTACATATTTGAATCCCACCATTGGAGTGGAGGCTCCTTAAAAAAAGCAAACATTAAAGGCACTATTGCAAACAATTCCAATAAGAAAAGGAATATAAAACAGCAGAAGAGGCCATTTGAATGAAGAGAAAGGATGAATACAGATAAGTTATCTGGAACTGTAGAAGAAGCACAGAAAACCAATGTTCAGAATGAGCTGAGGTTGAAGAACAAAAGCAGAACAAGAGCAAGGGGGCAAATGATGAAATGAATGTAGGCCTAGGCCCTTTGTGTGTGCCACTGTTGCACACAAATACATGAGGGCTATTGCTTGGGTGAGGTCACAACATAAATTGTATCATTCTACAGAAGCTCTGGATTCTGTGGTTGGCTTTGACAAAATGACCTTCAAATATGTTCAGAATAAAAGAAGTAGACAATAATCAGTACAGGTAATCCTTGTCTTACAATAGTTCATTTAATGATGATTCAAAGTTACAACGGCACTGAAAAAAGTGATTTATGACCATTTTTTCACACTTATGACTATTGCAGCATCCCCTGGTCATGTGATCAAAATTCAGACATTTGGCAACTGACTCATATTTATGAAGATTGTGGTGTTCCAGGTTTATGTGATCCACTTTTGTGACCTTCTGACAAGCAAAGTCAATGGGAAAGCCAGATTCACTTAACCACATTATTAATTTAATAATTACAGTGATTCACTTAATAATTGCGGCAAGAAAAGTTGCAAAATGGGACAAAACCTGCTTAACAAATGTCTCACAGCAACAGAAATTTTGGGCTAAATTGTGGTTGTAAGTCGAGGACTACCTGTGTACCCGCTACTCAGCGAAGATGGCAAAATCCAAATCAGTAACAAAGAAAAGACAGAGCTACACTACTATTTTGTTGTAGGCCTCTCCAACAAAAATATGTGTTCTACAAGAAATTGTTAAGAGCAGGATAAATGGATAGAATTGGTAACTTTCAGTTCTATCCATTTAAAACATGATAATGGAAGTCTATTCTGAATGAGTTTAAATCTGTAAAACCACATGAAGTGTAGCTTTAAAGAAAGGAACTCTGATTATTTAATTGAAATTCTGAAGTTTTGAGAAATCCTGGTACATACAACCGACGGTGAGTAAATGTTGCCCGTATTTCAAAAAA